CTCAAGAGAATAATGCCAGATTTCAATCCAGCCTGGAGGCAAGAGGCTACAGCTGGATTTACTTCAAACTGAACAACTGAAAAAGATCAAGATAGTTCTTATATGCTGAGGTCAAGGAGCAAGTCACTCTTGATACATTTCTATCCTAGGCTGAGGGGTGGAGTGTAAAGCAACATTTGGCAAGGACTTTGCCCTCAAGAAACTAACTAGTTAGCCTTGAAAAGAAGGGGTATCCAGAGAACTCTAACTACTGGCCCAGTAATCCTTGACCCCAAGGAAAAAATCCAAAGTCCTCATCTAGGTAGGCCTGGCTATTAATGATATGCCCCCAGACTACATTTCTTGTATTTTCTACCATGAACCTTTCTCTTGCAAAGTCCAAGTTCTGGCGAAAACTGGTGAAGTTTACACTGATCTCAAAATACGCCATGTCTTTTAACAGACTTTAATTGCTGTTTCCCCTGCTTGGAAAGCCTTTGTTATCTAAGACATTCTGTGATTTGTCTTCCCTGACGTTTTCTGATTCTCTCAGGGGAAATTGAGAGATGGGGGTGGGGGTGGGGCAAGGGGGAGGAGAGAGAATATTAATATTGTTGAACTCATATTATGTTCAATATGAGTTCAATTCAATAATATTACCCGAAGTTCATATGTTGAAGCCATAGCCCCCAATGTGACTGTATTTGGAGACAGGCTACAAGGAGATAAAGCTAAGTGAAGTCATAAGAGGGGGCCCTGATATGATAGGATTAGTGGCCTTTTAAGAAGAGATACCAGAGAGGTCATTCTCTCTCTCTCTCTACCATGTGAGGACACAGCCAAGGTGGCTATTTGCAAGCCAGGAAGAGGGCCCTCACCAGGATCCAACCATGCTGTCACCCTAACATCAGATTTCACGTCTCCAGAGCTGAGAAAAAATACTTCTGTCATTTCAGTCACCGAGTCCGTGGTATTTGTTATGGTAGCCAGAGCTAAGAGAGTCACTATGTTTCTTTTCCTGCCTTATGTCCCTAACCACCAGACTCGTAGACATCCTTTGCCCCTTTCACAGAAAGGAGACCCGAGCCCTGAGATGTGAAATAACGTGTGCATGGCACACAGGGGAGTGCG